TTTGTTTCTTCAGGACAGGTCTAGTCACACGGAAAAGAATTGTAAGACGGAGTCTCAACTCTCCACTTGATGGTCAGAGTTCTACATTAACACAATCAACAAATATTTTGGAATGATTATTATTTGCTAGACCAAAGATGTTAAAATACTGTTGTTCCTTTCTCAAGGAACTTACAGTCCGGGGGGGGTGGGGGGGGCAGGGGCCCGCGGCCGGCGGACTCACCTATGCGCACGGAGCCGGTGGTGTTCTGCAGCTCCGTCAGCAGGGCCTGCCCCAGACTGCGCACCTGCTCCAGGTCGTCCTTCATGGAGTAGCTCAGGTCCATGAGGTAGTACAGGTCCACGGGGTACCCCTCGGCGCGGAGGAAGTGGACTTGGAGCTTCTGGGGCTCCCCTGGTGGGCCAGGGCTGGGTCAGCCGCCCGGCTTGGGGCCCGCAGCGGCACCGTCCCGCGCCCGGCCCCTCACTCACCCGGTCGCAGCATGACCCGGACCCGCTGCGGTGCCAGCTGGGTGGCCCCCTCGCCACCGGCGCCCTGGCCCAGCGACTTGTTCTGCTGCACCTCCTGCCACCCGTGGGGCTCCTGCAGCTCCTCCGGGGGGCAGCCCCGAGCCAGTAACTCCTCCCGCTGAGCACAGCGCCGCTCTTCGGCCTCCCCCGCAGCCGTGAAGTTCTGCGCAGCAGAGGCAGCCGGACTCCAGTCCCCGGGGCCTCCCCGCCCCAGCTGGAGTGCCGCCGCCACGGGGCCCACCCACCCCAGAGCCCGCTGGCCACCCCCTTCCTCGTCTGAGTCCCTTTCTCTAGGGCACTGCCGCTTCCCTTCCCTCCTCTGGACCTGCCTCCGCTTCCTCAGCCTCCTCTTCTGCCCGCCAAGGCCCCAGATACCCTGCTGCCATCTCAGGCACCTCGCCACCACAGAAAATAAATAAGGCCTGGCTGCCTCGTCCAGCCTCTCCGCAAGCCCTTACCTCAATGGGAAGGGGCCTCCCTGGCCTCAGCGCTAGCAGACTATTGCGGGCAAGTTGGATCACAGCCAGGGAGGTGACCTCGTGGGCCAGTAGATCCACCTGTTCTGCTCCCCGCTCTGACCCCACCTGCTGCATCTCTGGTCTACACCCCAGTTCTTACATGCTTAAATAGCTAAAAGAACTCTTTTTTAAAAAAACTAGAAAGCGGACCAAGCTAAGACTCACAGTTCCTGAAGGGGGCGGACAGAGGCAGAAGTGGAGCCCCCTCGCCCCCGTGAGTCTGTCACCCCTTGGGCTGACTGGGAAGCCGCAGAGGAAGGAAATGGTTAGAGTAGCTTCTCAGCTGCTCTGGTGCCAGCCTCTGGTCTGGGGGATGGAGGCAGACACACCCTGCGCCCCAGGCGCCTCGGCCTCTCTCCTGCCCCCTCCTGCCGGGCTGTCCCCATCCGCCAGGCCGTGGTTGGCCTCGCCCGAGCCTCGGCCTGCAGCACCGCCACCTCGTGAATGCGCCCTCCTCTCTCATCTGACTCTTATCCTGCCTCGAGAGAGACTGCCTGCTGGAGCCACCTAATCTGTGGTGTTTAGCATGGCACAGGGGCCGCTATCTAGAACGGAGCATCCGTCCAACAAGCACATACTTCCTCCAAGCTCATGGTCGCAGTCTCTGCGTGTACACAGCCACCGCTGGACACACTCGGCTCATCCTCGCACACACGCAGAAATACAGACGCCCCATGAGCACGGATTCTCTCACGCACAGCCACAGGGCACACCCGACAGCGCACACAGCCACGGGTGCTCACACAGCCCCACGCCACGTGGACGAGGTTCGGGGGCCACGGCCCGTCTTTACCAGTTGCTTGCACCATGCGCAGCTTGGGTGTGAGCGGATGCACGCCTCACAGGAGGGGGCTGGCTCGCAGGACCCCGGCAGGGGCTGATCAGGAGCCCTCCACGCTGTGGCCTTCCCTGGGGATGAGATCTTGATGTCCTCCTCATGCTCGCCTTTGCCCAGGGCCACCAGAAAAACAAGGATCATTGACAAAGCCACCATGACCTGAAACAGGAGCACAGGGGACCGTGGGCCCTCCAGGAGCCCGGCCAAGCGCCGTCCTCTCAACTTAGCGGGGGGTTGTCACAAGCCTGTAGCCCAACTCGACAGCCCCTCAGAGTTTCACTTCCCTCTGTGGATTCAGCAGTTTCTCCAAAACGGCACGAGGGAACAAGACCCAGGCTGGATTAGAGGCCGAGGAGACCAGTCTTTCCTAGGGCCAGGCGTCTCCCCGGAGTGGTCAGGAGCCCTGTCAGGCCCTGGGGGCTGACTGCAGGCCACCTGCCGCTGTCCTCACCCGGAGCCCAGCCCTAGTGCATCCAGACAGGAAAGGAAACGGGCCGGGTCCTGGTCCTGACTTTGGCCCTCACGGGCTGGGAGCAAGTCAGACTTTCTTGCTGGGCCTTAGTATCCACGACTGTGAAGTGAGGGAGTTGAATGCTTGTACAGCCTTGCACCTTTCATCATTTTGTATCCTAAGTAGGGGAGGAGGGTCAAGAGCTCTAAATAAAGGAAGAAAGACAGTGAGATGGGAGGAAGAGGCCCTCCCTGGTGGCGCAGTGGGTTAGAGCGCCGCTCTGTAAGCTCACTGCAGCCACCTCAGTGTGAGCTCGATCCCCGCCCACCCCGGAGGTGACCCACATGGCGCGGCGGACCTCTCCTGACCTGCCTGCCCGCTGCTCCCCTCAGCAGTGGACTTCGTCAGTCTGCCTGTTCTGCTCCCCACTCTGGTGAATCCTCTCACCACCCCCAGTACCCACCCTGTACCCCAGCTCTGTATGCCTAAATAAATAAATATTTAGGAAAAAATTTTTCTTTAAATTGAAACTTTTATTTTTTTATAGAAGAACTGGGGTGTAAGCCAGAGGTACGGGGTGGGAGCTGAGAGGATTCATCAGAGACCGTGGGGAGCAGAACAGGCAGGAGAGGTCTGCAGCATTGTGTGGGTTTAGCTCCCTGGCCAGGGATGAAACTCCAGCTGTAGTGGTGATAACTCTGAGACTTCACCCCTGCGTCAGCAGGGAGGCCCGACAGCTGAAAACTTCATGCATCAAAGGACACTCGAGAGTGAAAAGACAGGTCATGGACTAGGAAAAAATAATTGCAAGTCATGTATCTCCTAAGCATCCCGAATATATGAAGTATCTTAGAAACTAAACAACCACACGCTTTTTTCTTTTAATTGGCAAAGGACTTAAATAGACTTGTCTTCTTTTTTTTAAGGGTTTTGTTTTTTAGATTTGTTTATTTCTGCATACAGAATTGGGGTACAAGCCAGAGGTGCAGGGGCAGTGAGAGATTCACCCAAGACAGTGGGGAGCAGAACAAGCAGACTGACGAAGTACACTGCTGAGGGGAGCGTGTTGGACAATTGCATTTCTGTGAAACAGCCAGACTAGATCAACCCAGGGAGACGGAAGCACATTCATGGCTGACGGGCAGGGCGGGGCTGCTGGCTGCTACGTGGTCCTTTTGGTGAAAAGTTCCAGAACTAGGTAGTGGTTATGGCTGCACAACATGGGAATGACCTTAATACTACGGAATCGTAAGGCAGAGAAGATGCCTGATTTTATGTGTATTTTGACACAATCAAAAGTCAGAAATTAAGAAAGTGAGAAATCTCCCATTCCTAGTCCCGTCCGCCTGTCCCACCACACCTGCTCCAAAAATAGCCATCATCTAGTTTCATATTTTCTTCTTATCTTTCTAGCGATTATTTTATATATAAAACTAATTTGAACACATACACATGCATACATACATATACACTCTTCAAATGGTAGAATCAAATTCTAGAAACGGTCGAACGTTTTGCAGTTCCGCACCTCGCTTTTCCCTTTTAACTGCTTTCTTTGGATTTCTTGCTACCCCAGACAGTAAAGAACTCCCTTGATCACTTTGCAGCCATACAGATTTCCATTCCACGGATGTATCCTATTGTGGTTAATGAATTGCTGGTGATGGAGATTTAAGCTGCTGTTCTTTGTTCAGTTATCAACAACGCTGCGGTGAAATTCACGTGCTAATTATTTCCCGTGGCAAGGAGAGAACCTAAGGGTAACCCCTGGGACAGGGGTCGTGGGCACAGACAGGGATCGCTGTCTGTGGCATGGCCGCCATCACTCCCGGCCGGCCGCGCCAGCTCACAATCCCCTACCCGCTGGCGGCCAGCGTCGGGGTCCCAGCCTGGGCCAGCTGTGGGACGGGCCTGCGTCCTAGAAACCAGCCCGCCCCCACCCCCGCTGCCCACCACCTGTGGCCTCAGGTGCAGCAGCTGCCGAAGGGCCTCCACACCCTCCCGGCAGGCCCTGGGCCGGGCCTCGGCGCAGCTGCAGCCCTGCTTGCCGCAGCCTGTGGTCAGGCAGACAACAGCTTATGTCTGTCTTGACTCATCACTCAGGTGGGGCCACAGGCTCACCGTTTCCGCAGGATAGGGAGGCCCAGAGCCTCCGCCCAAGCCCACTCAGTCCCACAGCGGGGACCTTGGGGCTCCCTGGCAGCTCTCTACAACCCTCTGGGCCCTCTCCCTCTCCCGCCCTCGGAGTTCCCTGACCTGCGAACCCATCTCTGACTCCCCCAAATGCTGAGTTATGTTGCTCTGCCGTTTTCTTTTCTACTGCTTCACAGTTCTTTGTTTTACTTCCTTTCCCCGTTGACCCCAAAGTAGAACAGCTGAACTTCCTACTTTAACCCCCTCCTTACACGCCAGAGTAGCAAGTGTCTTGCCAAGGTCAGCAGTGAGGTTGGCAGAACAGGGGTGGCAGGTCGGGCTCCTGGCTGTTTGCCGCTGTCCTCGCCTCTGCCTCTGGCCTAGGCGCCACCCTCACCTCCCCGCCGGCTCTGCCTTCGCCTCCCCCCGGCGGCCCCCCTCATCTCCTCTCCCTTCCCTCAGGAGTCTGCTTCAGTCATGGCTCCACAGTAAGCCCACTTTCTGGCCTCCGTTCTGACTCCGGAATATACTGTTGCCCGCTCTGCAGCTGAGAAACAGCCTCTTTGCAGCTCATCAGCTCCTCACGCCGAGCGGAACCCTCTGCTGCCCAGCCACAGGAGCCAAAGCCAAGCTGCCGGCCCCGCTCCCCAGGGGCGTGGGCTCTGTGACCAGGGTGTCACCGGGCAGGTCCGAGCTCAGGGCACTAGTCGTGGGGCTGCAGAGCCGTGTGGGGACCCCCTCACCTGGGCAGAGCGCCTGGCACAGGGCAGCAGTAGAGCTTCGCCCTCGTCTTTCCTCCCTCCAGGCCGCTCGGTGCAAGAGAGATGCGTGTGGAGCAGAGGGCGCAGGAGGGGTGCAGAAGAGCCCAGGGACAGGGGGCCTCAGAAATGCAGAAAGGAGTCCCCAGCCTCTCTCAAGTCTCAGCAGGATCCCGGGTGTCTCCAGGGCATACCCTGTTCCGGGGAGGGGAGGCCCAGGGGGGCCTGGTAGCAAGGGGAGAAGCGAGCGCGGTTGCCGGTACTCACAGGTGCTGTGAAGCGGCCTCCTCGCTGACAGCTGAGTCTGTGTGCTCTGGTCGGAGTTGAGGCTGCAGAAGAGAGGAGGAAGTGACACGCCCAGGCGGGGGAGTCTTGGGGTGGTGGGGTGGCTGCTCTGGAAGGTGGAGCAGATAGAGGTGAAACTGGGTGAGAGCTTTGACGGCACAGGGGTCTAGAAGGGACACCGGAAGCCCGTGCGTGCTGAGGGGGCGTGATGGTGATGCTCCTGCCTGTCCCAACAACCGCTGGGGGCAGATGTCAGAAAACCGCCCCTGCCCCGCTGCACGGCTGCCGAGATGGAGGCTGGAAGCAGGAAGGAACGGCCTGGCCCATGGTCACAGACCTCGGCGCCAGCCGGGTCCGCCGAGCTCAAAAATGGATGATCTGCCCCCTCCTGGTGTGAGAGCGTAGGGTGAGGACACCTGCAGGCGTGTCTGGGCAGCGGGGGTGAGTGGCCACTGGTCAGTTTGGAAGCCTCAGGCCTTTGCATCGCTGTGCGCAGCTACTGAACTCTGGAGCGACTGCACAGTCCAGTCTTGGCTCCACCATGATGGTCGTGGGGTTCACCCGCCCGTGGCTGTTTTCTCATTACTCCGCGGAGCTCAACGAGGTACAACTGAGAACCTGGCACGCCCTCCCTGGTGGCTCATGGGCTAAAGCGCAGCACTGCAAAGCTGCCCGAAGCCACTGCAGCGCGAGTTCGATCCCCGGCCAGGGAGGGACCCACAGGGCGCGGCAGACCTCTCCTGTCTCCCTGCTGCCCCCCTCAGCAACACACCTCAGTGGATCCACCTGCTCTGCTCCCCACTCTGTCTCTGGGGAGTCCTCTCACCCCTGCACCCCTGGCCTGTACCCCAGCTCTTGTGTGCATAAATAAATCAATCTTTAAAAAAAGAAAGAGAGGCCCTCCCTGGTGGCGCAGCGGGTTAAAGCACTGCACTAAGAAACTAAAGCCACTTCCGCATGAGTTCGATCCCCGCCTGCCCCGGAGGCGACCACAGGGCGCGGCAGACCTCTCCTGACCTGCCCGCTGCTCCCCTCAGCAGTGTACTTCGTCGATCTGCCTGTTCTGCTCCCCTCTCTGTCTCTGGTGAATCCTCTCACCCTCCGCATCTCTGGCCTGTACCCCAGTTCTGTACGAATAAATAAATAAATCTTTAAAAAAAAAGAAAAAAAAGAAAGAGAAAAACCTGGCATATGCTGAGGGTTGAATGAGAAATTACAGAGAGAAGTTCTGAAAAATTAAAATTCAAGGGCCAGTTGCTGAGAAACCCGAGCGGCACGGGCCTGGCTCTGCCCAGGCTGCCAGGAGCGAGGAGCGAGGGGTGTGCAGGCCTGAGAGGCAGCGCCAGGCGCCGGGCGGACAGAAGGGGGCGGGCGCGGGAAGCTCTGGGCCACAGGTAGCTGTCGGGAAGCTGGGCCCGAGCTGGGCCTGAGCGGTTCTCAGGTCTGTTTCCCTGCCAGGACACCGCCAAGCGAGGCTGCGGTCAGGAGGCGCTCAGGAGCGCCCCCAGGGCAGGGGTGCGCCTCTGGGTGGGCTCCTCAGGGCCAAGGCTCTACCTTCCCTTCCCCCACACCCCGGGTTTCCATGGCAGTGACCCCCTTCCCCAGAGCCCCTGGTCTCCCTTCAGCTTCTTTCACTTTCTTCTTCTCCTTCCCCACTCTCCTCCCTGGCCGGCAGCTCCGCAGCCTCTCCCTCCCACAGCACCAGCCTTCTGAAGACCATCAGGCACAAGGTGGGCAAGAAACTGACCCCTTGGGCCACTGCGAGGTTGGGGGGCAGAGGGCGAGATGAAGACCAGAGCAAAGTGGGGGCGGGGGGGGCTGAGGCTGGGGTACAGCAGAAGCCAGAGGCCTGGGGGGAAGAGAAGGGAGGAAGCTAAGCCGAGGTGTGTGTGGGGGGGTCCCACAAATGGACAGACCCCTGGAGGGGCTGGTATGAAACAGACCTACTGCAGGCCTCATGGGACCCAATGGTACTTGAGCGAGCCCTTCCCTAGGGAAGGGCAGAAAGGCAGACACCCCACCCGGGTGGGGGGGCACTAAAGCCACCTGACGCCATGCCTGCCCGAGAGGCCCACGGCCATCTGGGAGTCCACCTGGTGGCCGTGGGGGGCCCAGGCACTGGGGCACCCAGTGGGCCCCCCCACTGGGGGCATCCCCTTGCTCCCTCAAGCCTGCAAAGTCCCCATCAGGGGCCAGGCTCCTCACCCGCCACCCTGCCTGGGTATTTCCCCGGCACCTGGAGAAGCAGCCACATCCCAAGAGTTTCCATCACTTTATTTTGCAAAAATAGAAAACTCAGCAATATGCGGTACAGCGGGCTGACGGGAGATGTAAACAGAGGGGAGGGGACAGCACCCTGACCCCCCAGAGAAAAAGGGGAGCCGTTGGGAATCTTATTTGGCAGCTAAATACAAACTGGGGATTGGCAGGGGAAACGGGGGGGGGTCACAGAGGCCCTGGGCTCCCCCTCCCAAGACCCCTGGAGGAAGGGATCAATTCCAGGGTGTAAACAAAAGCTAATAAATAAATAGAGGCTTCCTCTGGGTCAAGGCGAGATCAGCTAAGCAGCGCCCACCCCCCTCCCTGGGCCAAGCTGCTCTGGGGGGGTCAAGGGAGAAGGCACTGGGGGCAGAGGGACCCCTGGCCCCTCTGTAGTGTAGGAGGGTCCCTGCCCCAATGGCTGAGATGGGAGGCAAGGGGAGCCCAAGGCACACGGCGGGGCTGGCGGGCGGCTTCGAACGGAGGCCGAACGGAGGCCGCCAGGGAGGCCAGCCCACGGGGAGCGCAGGGTGGACCCGCCCGCCCCTGCACCCCGGGCCCTCAGCCGTGAAGGGCCCGGCTGCCCCACCCTGACCTGGCACGAGGATGGGGCACAGAGGGCACGCACCTGGCAGGTGCGAGCAGGTGCATTACGCAGCATTAGGCACCAGGGAAGGGCGAGAGTGGGCTCAGCACCCCCTTCACCCCCTTTTGGTCTCTAGTGTTCCTGTTTGCTCCCAGAGGCCCGAGCACCGGGCAGAGGAAGGGACTGTGGCGGGGCAGGATCTTCCTCCTGCCCTGGGAGCCCGGGCCCGGCACCGGAGGGGCGGCGTGGAGGTTTCAGAGTCCAAACCCAGGCTGGCCCCGCGACCCTCTCTCCCAAGGGGAGCAGGACAGGCCCCCGAAACTGGAGAGGGAGTAGAGCGGGAAGGGGATGAACACAGAGGCACCCCTAGAAACTTTGGCAAAAACAAGGAGCTCGTTGGAGGGGCGGGGAGAGAGCAGAGCAGGTCCCCCCCAGAGCTGCAGTGTCTGGGGGTGGTCAGTCTGCTGCCTGGAACCCCAGCCCTCAGGGAGGGAGTCAGGGGCCCCGTTCAGCCTGGGGGCTGTGGCCCCCTTTGTCCTGGCTGCCAGGAGCCTCGTCCTCGCTGGAGGCCTTGGGGTGGGGGCCAGGCTGCGAAGAGTCGTCCTCAAACATTTCGGGGTTCTCCAGCATCTCTCGGATCAGGGGAGGCATTGGGCCCGGAATCTCCATCTTCAGGGTAATGGCCCTTTCTGCTCCTGCAATGGAGAGACCAAGAGGCTAGGGGTGGGGGCAGAGGCAAATGTCCTTTGAGGCCACCCCTAACCTTTCTCAAGTGGGGGCCCCCGCTTCTCGGGTCCCAGCTCACCTCACTTCTCCAGGGCTCCCCGGGCCACTCCTCTGCCCTCCTGTACCTGACTTCTCTGCCAAGTCTGCTGTCCATTTTCCCACTCGTTCAGGTGGGCTTTCAAAGATCACCCCAACCCCAACGTGTAACCCCGATCTCCTAACGTTCCTCTAACGCCCAGTGCTTGCCCTAGGCCTGTTTGTGTTCACGAGTGCGAAGGTGACGACTTTCAGGCGCTCTCCCTGGCACCCCTCTAAAGGACACTGGCCCGCAGAACTTTCTGATGTGCCCGATACACAGGCCCTGGCCCGTGCTGCCTCCGCGCCGGAGTGCGGGTGCGTCTGCCCCCAGCACGCTGAGGAGGCAGCTACAGACACAGCCCCGTGAAGCCACAGCAAAGTGCCCGACGGGAAGGGCTCCCCCCGGGACGCCCCTGCCCCTGGGGCAGGCTGGGGCGCTCCCCGCCCTGCCCTGGCCTCTGCTGTCCGGGCCTGACCCGGGAGAGCAGCAGCTCCGGGAGGCGGGAGGGGAAGCTCGCGGGCACTGACCCTTGGTGCTGATGCCCCGGAGGTCGGTGATCTTCATGAGCATCCTTGGGAACATGTAGGGCTGGCTGGGCCGCCGCCGCCGGGCGTACAGCCGCAGGGCTTCCAGCAGTGGCTCCTGCAGCTTGTCCACCTTTTCGGGCTCCTCCAGGTCCATACGGTCTGAGGGGACAAGCACATTGGGCCAAGAGATGGAGCACCGTGGCGGGTGGCTGACCCAGAGCGGCCCACCGCGCCCTCGGCCTGCAGGCCCCAAATGCGCCTCGCTGGCCTCTCCTCGCCTCTCCCTTCGCCCTGGGTCCACCCTCGGCTCTCCTGCTCCCAGCCCTGTGCACCCCCTTCCGCAAGGTTTCTCCGGGGGCCCCTCCAAGCACGCCCTCTCAGCTCGGGCGTCGGGGGGGCCATGCCTGCTCAGCCTTGGCCCTCTTTGTGTCCAGGCCGCCCGGGAGCCTGTCTGGAGCCAGGGACACAGTCCTGAGCGGGGCGCCTGGGAGAGCGGGTGTGGGGAAGGGGCACGAGCCGCCGCCAGGGGGCGCCCTTTACCGCCGCAGATGAGGCAGATGGCGCTGAGCAGCCCCGTCTCTGTGTCGTCCATCTCCAGGGGCAGCAGCTGCCCAGCAAAGGCAAAGACCAGGTCGGTGAGGGGCCCGAAGCCGGCGTTGTGCATCTGGGTCCGGTTCAGGGTCAGCCCGTCCGAGAAGGTCATGGTGTCCTGCTCTGGGGTGTACCTCGTGCAAATCCGCAGCATCTGGGGGTGCGCGGGGAGGCTTAGTGCGAGCCCCGAGCCCCGGCCGGGCATGGGAAAGAGTGAGGTGGGCGTGGGCGCTGAGGGGGCCAGCAGGGAGCCCTGGGCGGGAGGCCCTGAAGCCTGAGCACAGAAGTCGGGAGCAAAGCTTCCTGAAGTCTAGGTTCAGGCCTTGGGGGGCGGTTGGGAAAGTAAGGAGCTGGGGTTTGCGGGTGCCAGATGGGAGCGGGGAGAGGCAATGGAACTGCTGTGCGGCCCAGCCCCTGGTCTCCCGAGGCTCTGCAGGGCTCGCTCACCAGGATGTCCAGGCAGGCCGCCTTGAGCAGGGTGATCTGGTCGGCGATGCTGAGCCCTGTGAAGCCAGGCAGCCGCTTGGCGAACTCCACTATCTTGATAATGCACTTGGTGGCCAGCTCGCTGAACTTGTCCCACAGCCCCAGGTCCAGCTGCACCCGGTGGTCCGCACTGGAGTTCTGCAGGGAGGGGTCGGCCGGCAGGTGAGGCCCGGGTTGTCTTGGGCCAGCAGCCCCGGCGCCGGCCCCTGCATTCTGCTCCCCACCAGGTCCGGGCGCCCACCTAAGGCCCCCTCCGCACCCCCAGCGGCCCACAGCCTCCCCACTCCTCACCGTAGTGTATTTGCCCAGCTGGCAGAGCGAGGGGAAGGTCTCCTGGTGGGCCCTGCTGACCTTGGTGATGAGCTCTTCTAACTGGGGGCTCAGCTCATAGCTGTCAAGGGACGCTTCTTCCTTCACCTCTTTCTTCTTCTTGTTCCTGTCATTCCGCACAGCTTGGGGGCGGGAGCAAAAGGAGAGGGTGGGAAAGTCAGCGTGGACCTCCTCCCCACCGCCTCTTTGGCTCTGCTTCACGTGCTCAGTCGTGAACCGCTTCTCCCGGACCCTCCCCCATGCCTCGGTTTCCCTATCTCCGCCACTAGGTGCCCTTCCCCTTCCCCAGCCCCGCCCGCCCGCAGCCTCTGCTCCCTCCCCAGGCCCTGGGGCTGGGTTCTGAACTGGCCTTCCGGTCACCCTGCAGGATATGCAGCAGCAGGATATCCACTTATAACCACGGCAGCACAATGGCGTAGAAGGGGGGGGGCCCCCTATCCCCCCTTCAGTCCTGGGAGCAGAGGAGAGGGCAGGCCAGGCCCCCCACCTCCCCAAGAAATAGGGGGATGTGAGAAGGTAACCCCACTCACTCTTTAGAGAGCGAGGTAACTGAGAGCGGACACAGGGTGGGCCCCCCTGAGCCCAGGGCCCTGATCCCACAGGACCGGCCCTGGGGCTGCACGGGCCTCGGAAGTCAGGCAGGTGGGGTGTCCGTGGGGACAGGCGGGGGTGCTCCTGGCCAGACCAGGCGGGCACCCACCTTCCTTGGACATGCCCACTTCGAAGCACTTCTGCAGCCGGCAGTACTGGCAGCGGTTCCGGGTCACCTTGTTGATGATGCAGTTCTTGTCGCGGTGACACGTGTACACCATGTTCTTCTGGATGCTGCGGCGGAAGAAGCCCTGGGGTTTCGGGTCGGGGTGGGTGTCAGTCGCGCTGGCCGCGCCAGCCTCTCGCAGGCCTTGCCGCTGGCCCAGCCCTGACCCAGCGTATTAAGCACCGAGGGGCACAGCTCCTGCCCGGGGGCCCGTCACACAGCCTCGCTGGGCTGGTGGCCCTGAGCTCCTGCCGCACCCGGGTCCCCAGGGCACCGGCCATGTACACACCTTGCAGCCTTCACAAGAGCTGACCCCATAGTGGTAGCCAGAGGACTTGTCATTGCACACGAAGCAAGGCTTGTAGACCCGAGGAGGTGGAGGGGGCGAGGGCGAGCTGGGCACCATCTCCTCTGAGCTGGTGCTCTGTGTCTCCACCGCTGCGGGGCAAGCAGTGAGATGAGGTCGGAGGAGAGGGGCCCCCGGGCCCCCGCGCACCCTCATCGCACACACCCAGAGCACACACAGCCCTTCACCCCTCCCCACCTCTTCCTCGGGGTCAGTAATGACAACATCATCGCTGTCACCGTGGGTTCCAGCCCATAGTGACTTTCCCAGAGAGCCCCAAGTAACCCCTTCACTGCATCCCCCATGGTCTGCCCATCTCCCCCCACAATAATGCCAGCTTGAGCCCAAGACAACACTGCTCAGTCCTCCAATTCCGGGCAAGGGTTGGGGCGCAGCACCGTGAAGCTGTCTGCAGCCACTGCAGCCCGAGTTTTATCCCCAGCCAGGGGGTGACCCCCAGGGCACAGCAGACCCCTCCTGTCTCCCCGCTGCTCCCCTCAGCAGTGTACTACATTAACCTGCCTGTTCTGCTCCCCACTCTGTCTCTGGTGAATCCCCTCACACCACACCACCCCCCTGCACTTCTGGCCTAGACCCCAGTTCTTGTGCACATAAGTAAATAGAATCTTAAAAAAAAAAAAAAAAAAAAAACTCTCCAAATTCCAGGCCCAGACCATCCTGGAAGTTAATTCCTCTCAGCCTCAGTTTCCCCAGTTTAAAGCAAGTAGATGAAGCAGTTACTCTGTCACTTGTTTTCACTTGGGTTGGTCCTTCTCAGGCCGTCTGCTTCCACCCTTCTCCTCCTCAGGAGGCAGGTTGTGGGGGAGGGCAGGGACCTCAGCTTGCACCTGGCAGGTGACCCCCTGCCAGATGACTGTCCAGGCTACACAGCAGGTCGCTCAGGACCTCATTTCCTCTCAGGCAGCAAGGTGGGGAATCTGCAGATCCCTCTCACCCGGGGGCTACCAGTGTCCACTCCTCAGACACCTCTGGGGCAGCGAAGCAAAGGGGGAGATATCAGGAAAGTAGGTCGGGGGATCCCACGGACTTATTTTACTCCTGAAGAAACCGAGCGCTAGAGAAGCGACTGGCCTGAGCCAGGTGCGCGCTGAGGGCTCCAGACCAGACCTAAGCAGCCAGGCCAGGAGGCAGAGAGAAGCCGGGAGAGGGAGACAGGGACTAGCTCAGGTGTTCAGGTCGACAGTGTATTGGGAGAGGTCAGGGACAGCAGTAAACAGGCCTGGGGGCCCGGGGGCCGGCTCTGAGCCCTCTGACCCTATGCCTCCGTGGAAACCTCCACACACATCCAGCAGCAGCCCAAGAGGCCTCAGGTCACGTCAGGTGGGGGCCTGTTCGGAGGCTGCTGAGCGGGTCTGTTTTGAGTCTGTTTGCGTGTTTGGTTCATCGTCAAGTCCGTGTGATCCTTCGGCCTGCAGGGCCTGGGCCGAACCCGGAGGCCCAAGTTAATGCAAGAACCCCGGTGCCCCCCCCAGGGGCTCCCACACCGCCACCTCAGGAACACCTTCCTTCTGACTGCCTGCGGCCCACCTAGTGGGAAGTCCAAGAGCCATGGCAAGGCAGAGGAATGCCCCATGCCTGGGTTAGGGGAGCTCCACGCCCCCAAGGCGGGGAGCCCACCCCAGCCCCCAACACACAGACACTCGATTAGCATAAGAATCCCACCGGAGTGTGATTCCCTAAAGGAAAGGGGGGGAGGGGTGCCAGCACACAGCCCAGCTGGGGGCGGGGCGCCTCTCAGGACCCCTCGAGTCCTCTGGGGTGCCGACTGTGCTGTCCAGGCCAGTGCGTGGGGTGGCGCTCACCAGTGTGACGCCCTCCTGCCCGCAGAGCGCTGCCTCATTTCCTCTCTTGCGAAAGGCCTGGGTGGGGTCAGGCTGGCAGGGGGCAGTGCCAGTCAATTACAAGCCGGGGCTGCGGGGAGACAGGCCTAGGGGCAGCTTCTCAGCATCCCTCGGCCGCCCCCTCGCCCCTAAGCCCCAAGTGCAGCCAGCAGCTCTGGTCACCCTGGGGCTAAGGGCCAGGGAAGGCTAGTCCAGCCGCCCAGCCCGTGAGCCCCTTCTGTCTGGGCCAGGGAGACCGGGGAGGGGAGACTGTCCCTGGGCCAGGCAGGGCCCCTGCTGAGGAGCAGGGGTGGGCTCTGGGTTTTTCTCCTTTTAAAGCCCAAATTGCTGAAATTGAGGAAATTCCTGGCCAGTCTGAGCGGAGCTTCAAACAAACTCTTTATAACCGGCTGTAAACGCTCCCAGCTGCGCGGCCCAGGCTGAGCAGCCCACTCACAATCTGACACACACCTCCTTGGAGACACCCCCTCACATGTCAACAACACCGGCCACAGAGACACGCATCTCACGGGCCGGGCCCAACGGGGCTCAGGGGCCCCATGCAGCGGACACTCGAGGCACAGCCCGACACACGCCCTAGGGCTCCCTCCACGCTGCCACCACAGCAGTGCCCCGGCCTCCAGGGCGGCACAGACACCAGGGAAGAGACCCCGGCACCCCCGGCTTTCCCGGGTCAGAACCTCGGCCCTCAACTGCCTTCTGGGAAAGTGGGGGGTGCGGGCCTGGCGCCGGCTCTGGGAGCATCAGGGCCCTCTGGCCACAATCACTGGTCAAAACTGAGATGCAAAAACCTGTCAGCAGCCAAGGCCAGGGGGCTTTCGTGGGCCTGGAAAGGAAACGGGCTTCCTACCCAGCCCCCCAGAAACCCCCCGTGGGCGACTGTCTCCACCGCAGCACCCTCCCCAACAGCCTCTGCTCCCCATCCTCGTGGGCAAAGAGGAAGGCTCAGAGTTCACGAGTCTGCTGCAAAGCAAAGCGGGAGCTCGGGCTCCCACCCCTGTAAATGCCACCCTTTCCTCTTACCCCACTCCACCCACAAGTGTTCTCTGCCCGCCACCTCCCTCTCCCAGGCTCCCAGTTGTTAAATCTGAGCAGCTCTGCCCTGGAACCAAGAGACCAAAAAAAAAAAAAAAAAACCGAACTTGTAAACAGCGCAGCTGAGTGCCAAGGAGTGAGCGTTGGCCCGGTGACCCCGCTCCCCTGCGCTGCCCCTTCCCGCGTGCCCCCAAGTCCCCCATTCCCGGGAGTCCTCACCCAGCACCCAGGCTCGAGCTCGGCCCAGCCCCAGGGAAATTTGGGGGGTATTCGGGGCTGTCTCCCGGCCCCTCCCCACACCCCCACCCCCGCCAGGCGCTCGGGCCCAGGCTTCAAAGCCGCCTCTCATCTGGACTTCATTTTTACTGCCTCTCAGTCCCCAGCTTTTTATTACCGTTCTGGAAAGGGGTTCCAGGGCCCCAGGCCTGGCATCTCCCATTTCACAGAAGGGGAAGGATGGACATTTGGGGACCCAGTGGTCGCAGCCTCCCAGTCGCTGCCACCTCCAGGCCACCCCCCCCCCCACTAGGCAGACGTTTGCTTTAAACTTTTCTCTTCCTACCGAAGTTGTGTGTGGGGGGAGCCATAGGGGAGAATCATCCCGGCATACAAGCCTGCCACTTGCCAACACTTCTTTAAAAAACGGGGAGGGGGGCGCCAGAGCCCAGCCTCCTCGGGGTGTGCGCCACCCCCTCCGCCTCGGGACACACAGGATGCACGCCGGGACACAGCTTCCCAAGCGCCCGGCCACGCAGGGCACAGCCCTCGGCCTGGGCCACGGGCCCCACGCTGGGCCCGCAGGCCGCGCGCGGCCGAGGGGCGCAGCGCGAGCCCACACCCACACGCTGGACGCGGCGCCCCGGGGACTCACACGCTCCGCAAATACTATTTTTTACACTCCCCACTTCCCACATGGGCTTTACCAGCGCCACCCACGGTCCTGGGCGCCACATCCCTCCCTGGCCACGGACCGATGGGCACCACCATCGCACCTCGGCCTCCCCCCGCCCCGACTCTCCAGTGCCATCTTCCAGGGGTCCTGTCTCGACACCCATCCTAAAACCGCTCACCCCAACACTACCGCACACACCCAAAGGAGTCGCTGAGGCTACCCCGTTTAAAGGGCCAGTACCTCGCTTACACAGCCCCCCTCACGCTGGAAGGGTCCGAGCCTCTGCCTGCAACCCCGCGCCGCCTTTTACACACCGAGGGAGCCGCTACTTCTGCACCCCGCACCCCACCCCCGGGCTCCGGTACCTACATTGCAGACTGGCGGGTTGTGGCCAAGCAAAAGGCTCCAGTCCGGCGAAACAGGCGCTGCCAGCGGCTCTGCGCAGCAACCCGGCCCCGGGCCCGGCCGCCCCGTACAGCCGTCGCGGACACGGGGCAAACGCTTCCATGCAGTCGTACATCGCGACCCGGCTTGGAGGGGAGCTGGGTGCTAGGAACACCGAGGACCCGCAGGCGAGTCCCCCTCCTCCCCCCGCGGCGCCCCGCTCCTGGAGGGGGGAGGGGAAGGGCTAGCATAGGGCGCCGGGCTGCATGGGGGGTAAGGGTGGGCGGGGAAGAAGGGGATCCCCAGCAGGGGCAAGGACTGGGCGGGGCGCAGAGCCCAGGCTGCCGCTTCAGCCGAGATCCGGCTCACTCTGGGCGCCTCGGCGGCTAGCACTGGGGAGACCTTTTGTAAAAGCGGAGCCCGGAGGGGTGGGGGGTGGGGCTTGTAGACCGAAGGGGGCCGGGCACCAAGATGAGCAGAGCTAGGAGTGGTGCGCACTCACAAACACACTCGCACCGTGGGGTGCGCGCGCTGGCTCAGACAGACATCCGTGCATACCCTTTCCTCGGCTGGCACCACGCATTTGCAAATATGCAACCGTGCACAAGTCCGTATGCACGCGCCAAAATAACGATGGAGCCACACACGTCTGTGCAAGCACACCTGGCTGGGGGCTTGCCTGCAAACATGCTCCGCGCGCGGCCCGGGGGTTTTGCGCGTGCCCTGCTCTGGGGCAGGAGAAGCAGAGCAGAATTCCCTCTCGAGTGCCCCCCCACTCCCTCTTTCACGCCAGCCGCCACAACCCCGAGTTTCGAGGATGGCTGGGGAGATGGGAACATGGAGGTTCCCCGCCCGCGGCGGCCCTGCGGGGCCGGGGGACCTGCACTACCTCCACCCCCTCATTCCCAGGCCTGGCTCC